CTGTTTCTTTAACCAGTCATTACATTTAGAATTTTGCTTGCATAAAGAAAGTATATAATAAATACCTTGTAACTAACTAGTAGGCATCAGATTAAATTATTCAGGATCAATTCAGCCAAATGCACTTCAATCATTCATTTATTAACTCCAATAACATCTATCATATGTCCTGTGCTCTTTCAGGCACTGGGGATAGAGCAGTGAACAAGTCCGTCAACACTAATGCCCTCTTAGAGCTTTTATCGTAATGGAGGAGACATACAGCTCCTCCCCCCAAAGTTAATAACTATTTAGGTGATAAGTGCCAATTAAAATAGATGTTATTAAATAAGGAGGGTGATATCATTGAGATTAAGAATAAAAAAGGATGAGGGGGTGACTTAAGACTTATGTCAGTAGGGAATGTGTGACTGCAAAGGAAAGAACTAGAGGAATCAGTCATTCAAAGAGCTGGTGCGGGAGAACATTACATGGATCAACAGAGGCAGAGTTCAAAGTGAAATGCCTTGAAATGGAGGAAGGGTCCACAGGCCAAGGAAGGCAGATCATGGTCCCAAGATGATGGAAAGGTTGAGGAAACAGATTCTCCCCTCAAGCCTCCAGAAGAAATGTCTGCCCTCAGCCCAGTGGAACTGACTTTGGACTTTCACCTCCAGAACTGCAAGAGCATAAATTTGTGTTGTTTTAGCCACCAAAAGTTGTGGCCAAATATTATAGCAACTGAAGGAAATGAACACAGATTTCGGTATCTGAAAGTGGGGTGCCACTAAAACAAATACCTAACCATGAGGCAGTTAGGTATTTGTTATGATTAAGTCATTGAAATTAAGTAATGGGAAGAAGTTTGAAGAATTTTGAGGGGCACAACTGAAAAAGCCTAAATTGCCTTGAACGGACTTTTAGTAGAAATATGGATGTTAATGACCCTGGTAGTGAGGACTCAGAAGAAAATGAGGAGCGTGGTACAGAAAATTCGTATCGTATTAGATCTAGAATACCTAAATAGTCATAAACAGACCACTGGTAGAAATATAAATGCTAAAGGTGCTACTGGTGAGAGCGCAGAAGGAAATGAAGAACATAAGAACATGTTATTGGAAACTGGAGGAAAGGAGGTGCTTGTCACAGAAAGCTTAGCTAAATCGTGTCCCACAATTACATGGAAAGTAGAACTTGTAAACAACAAACTTGGATACTTAGCTGAGGAGATTCCCAAGCAAAGTGCTGAAGGTGCAGCCTGGGTTTCTTCATGCTGCTTATGGTTAAATCTGAGAGGAACGAGATAAAGTGAGGGAAGAACTGTTAAGCAAAAAGGAACCAGTACTTGATGATTTGGAAAATCCTCAGCCTACCCAGATTGTAAATTATGCTAAAATCAGGGATTCAATGTTAAGAAAGTGTGTTCTGGAGACAAAGCCAAAGTGTGGCTAGACAACCTTTTGCCCGTGCCTCAAAATGAACAAAAGGTCACAAGGTTCAGTGACACAGAGGGCTCTCGGAAGAGATTAGACATGTGACTCATGGATCTCCTCAGCCGTCCCGGCAGAAGCCAAAAACAGAGATGGAATCATCCAGGAAAGACATGTGGAGGGGGGTCTTGTCTTATGGAAGGAACCCACATGACGAACAGAGAAGACTCACGAGAATCTTTCCTGAGACTGTTACACCAGCAGAACACCACCACCTCAGACTGAAAGGGACAAGAGCGGACAAAATGAAAGAAGACAAACAGACCAAAATTCTACAGACAGGAAACAGGCTGATAAAAATACTCAGGTGCAGATATACACCACCTTTCCTGAAAAAGGAAGGATGACTCCAAGGGTAGAGTCTTAAATTCTGAGAGTGGAGCCTCAGACATCAGGGCCAAGAGCAACAGAGTATTATTTCCAGGCCTTGAAACCGAATATATTTTTCCCAATTGGATTTCAAAACTGCTTGGTACCAGTGACTCCTCTCTTCTCCCCATTTTACCACCTTTGGGGTGGAAATGTCTGTAACCGTTATCCTGTTCCATCATTGTATTTGAAGTACAGGTAACATATTTGCTCGTTTCACATGTCTAGAGATGGAGAGGAATTCTGAACCAGGATGGATCATATCCAGTGTTTCACCCATACCTGATGTAAATGATTTAGATGATGTGACTTCTGAGTTGATGAAATTTAGATGACATTTTGAGGATTTACAGATGAGACTTCTGAGTTGATGTTATAATGTAAGGCTTTGTAGATCAGGGTAAGGCACTCTGATTTTATTCTAGGTATAGCGGGAATCCACAGAAGAATTCCAATCAGCAAAGTGATACGACCTGATTTCAATGTAAACATTTCAATGTAAACATTTAAAAGGATCACTGAAAGGAGGTAAGAGTGTAAGTAAGGGAACCTGTTAGAAAACCATTACAGTAGTGTGAGCAAGAGAAGATAAGGACACAGACTATGATGATAACAGCAGGAAGGAAAAAAGAGGATAGATTCAAAATATATTTTGAAAGCAGAATTGACAAAACTTGCTAATAATAATAAATTAAATGCAGAAGATAAAAGAAAGAGAAATATGATGATTCTTAAGTTGGGACTTGAGCAACTGGGTAGACTGTTCTGTTTATTAGCTGAGATGGACAAGAGTGAGGAAGGTATAGATTCACGTGAGAAAATCGAGATTTGCATTTTGGACACGCCAAGTTTTTATTCTAACAGACATCCAGATAGAAATATCAAGTAAGTAGTTTGATATAAGAGCAGGAAGCTCAAGGACAGCTCAGAGCCAGATTTATAAATCTGTATGGCATTTAAAACAACAGAACCAAATAAAATTAAACAGAAAGAATAGATGGAAAGAGGAAGCAAGCCCAGGACCCAACTCTGGTATGTTCTAACATTTACAGGTCTGACAGAGGAGAGAAGCCAGCAAAGGAGACAGAGAACAGCCAAACAGATAAAAACAAGTTGAACATAATGTTAGAGATGTCATCTTGCCAGAACCATTGATACTAATTACAATTATTCCACTTGATATAACCTTCATAGGCTCTACTCTTTGAAAGTCCAGTTTAAAATGCAAAAGCTTTAGGGACTTCCCTGGTGGCCCAGTGGTTAAGACTCCGTGCTTCCACTGCAGAGGCACAGGTTCAATACCTAGTTGAGGAACTAAGATTCCACATGTCACGCAGTGCAGCCAAAAAAAAAAAAATTTTTTTTTAATTTTTTTAAATAAAAAATAAAATGCAAAAGCTTTAGCTCTGAGCATTCATTTTTAAAATATTCAAATACTTATGGAACTTCCACTAGAAGAGGACACTGAATGCTGAGGGGATACACATAGATTCAGAGACTTTTCCATTGCATAGCTGCACTGTGACGATTTTTTAAAATTTTAATCACAGATTTTAAATTCTTTAGGAAATTGGAACAAGTGAACAAGCTGGACTAATACAGAGAAATCTGGGCAAGGCATGGTCGGAGAACCACCTGGATACGAATGGAGATAGCAATAAAGAACAGCAAGAAGAGCCATAATAAAAAGGTGTGTGTTCAGATCATCATCTGTCACTACCTACACTATTATCTCCATTGTAGCTTTCTGTTCCCCTTGTAGCCACGAAAAGCCCTCCACACATTTTATTTTCCTCCCCTCTAGCTATCTCTACTCTTGTCCTGATTCTCTCTTCATCTGACCACAGTTTTATAGTTTTTGATTTCAGCTGATTTGTACGGTGCCTTTTCCTGTCCAAGTAAGTTCTGTGTTTTAAAAAGTTTTCCTGGGACAAGGTAGTGACTATAAAATTATCTAAAACATTTTGAGCAAATATGGATTAATATGTTATAGTTGAAGACTAAAAATGTTTACACAGACAAAGAAAACAACATATAATTTGTCCCCTCTCTCCCCCATCTCCACAATCCTAAATTTGAGATTTCAGGGAACTGACTTCAATTTTCTCTTTTGTGGTACCAGACATATAGATAGATTACACTTTAATACAGGAAGGAGACAATTTTTAAATGAACAGCAATCAAAGGCAGTGACACATAGACAAACTAGCATGATTACGCCAAATTCACCTAAAAAAGAATTAAAAACCTTTTACTCAACTCTAAAGAAGCTGAGGCTTTTCAGACCTGTTGAAGACTTCCTAAAAGTATGCTGACATTCCCTGGTATGTCAATCATACCCACGTACCACAAATACTGACATCGTCTCAAACCTCCTTAGGGTGAAATGTTAGGGCAAGGAGTGCTGCTAGCTGGCCAGACTCAGGAGGGCCAACTCGGTTTTCAAGAAAGACGTAAGAAAAGGAAAGTCCCCCAAGTTTAAAAAGAGAAAAGAGTAGTACATTTATGAAGATCTCTTCCCCTGACCTCCCCTTTCTTCACACCCTGTCACAGGTGTGACTGCTTAGGAGTGTGGGGACTCCCAAGGTTTTCCTGATTCTTCCAAATCTAGAGAATACCTGATTCCTTGCCTCCCACCTAATAACTGAATTACCTTTCCTGGGGCCACCTTGTTCAACCACCCAGTTGCCAGGTGGCTCCTTCTAAGGAAGCATAGACAGTTGTTGGTGTCAAAAGATGTTGTGGTCTTTGGACATGTTCCCGATTTGAATTTCAACCAACTCCTCACATCTCTCTGATGGGGTACAGTAATAGAACAGAAGTCAATGGGAGATCAGCATGCACTCAGATTCCAGATTCTGAAAGGGAACAAAAATCAAACCCTCCATTCTTTGCCTCTTCACCACATCTGATAACCAATATGCTAGAAACCAGGCTTTATCAGCCCATGAAAACTAAATATAAAGTAACAACTCTCAATAACCGCATAATAAGCAGTAGGTACTTGATGAATGGTTAAGTCTACAATACAAATAACAAACGTTAATATTTATTAGATTTTATACTCTGTAAGTCCAAATTATCTGCCATTGTACTACAATGTATCATACACTGTGAAGTGTTCATTTTGTATTTAAATATCCATGCAGAGCACTGACTCACCTTTTCTAATACAGATAAGTTCATGTACTCCACAGGTTCTTTCTCCACCTGTTAAGAAAATTTTGGTTAGAAATTAAAACCAGATCATAACCTGAGTTTGACTGTTACAAAGACTTACAAGGTTTTAAATCAGCTTCTAGAAATGGGCTCATAAAAACGTTTCCTAATTCTTCTCTTTAAACTTACCTATACAAATATGATAAATCTGATACGCAGAATCTTCCTGAACCCATAAATCAAGGTCTTACAAAGTCCTGGAATAAGGAAGCTCCACTCGAGTATTTTATTTCAAATGGCAAGCTTCTCAAGAGCAGAAATCATAGCACCATTTCCTAAGCACCTCTTTACATCATCTAGAAGGAAACGATGCAAGGAAGACCCACTTTTGTATCTGAGCCTTAATATATACAGGTAAGTTATCATGGAAGGGTCAACTCCTTAAAGGCACTATTTGCATTTTATCACATATACTCATATTGTGATCTTTCCCCATTCTCCACCTACCCACTCTTATAAATCTATAAGACAAATTTTATAAGTACTATGATGATAAAACTGACAAATTTAACCAAAATATACTTTATCTTAATCATTATCAAAAATTACATTCGCTATCATAAGAGTAATATTGTTACCATAAAAATAGGTATTTCCTTCACTCTGAAACATAGTGCCACTACCTGAAATGAATGTAAGCTGAATAAAATTCTGTAGTGTTCTATATATGCATAACCTTATAATTATGCTGAAAATTATGTTTAAGCTTTGCATAATGAAAATATTAAATAATTTCATCATCTTACCTCATTAAAAAAGCTTATTATGAACAGTTACTTTATAAGAAACAGAAATAGCTTACAGCAATAACATGAGAAATAAAAACCATGATATCCACTAAAAAAAAAAGTAGGTCATCCAGGAAGCAAGCTAAAAAACTAGAAAACAGTATTTCTATCACTAAAGTAGGTTAGAGCTACATTCTAACTTGGCTGTAACAATGCCGTTGCTTCTCTATTATCAACAATACAGACTAATCACTGTTATCAGGAAGACAGACTTAGCAAGAAACACGTAAAATAAAGTTATGATTATAAAAGAATTATTATTCAGTAAACCTCAGTATAAACACAGTGAAACCTTATCAACTGGAATATTACCAATGAGTAATCACTGATCGGTTGCTGAAGGGGTAGAATGAACTATACCTATCTACCACCTTATCTTTAAAAGTGAGAAACTAGTCAAATGGCAGGAAGGGGAATATTTACCAAATTATAAGAAGAAACTACTTTCAAGAAATTTAGAAGAACCACATAATAACAACATAACTATAATGTATATTGACACCATCACTGATGTTTTCATAGGCTACTTAGAAACAGTTCTTATATAGTCATTAAGACCTATTCTCCAGATGGTAACACTTATAACTTAGTTTGAGTCATGTACTTAATTCATGCAACAAGCCTGCACTTTTTAAAGCCTGTAATTGAAACTAGACTTCCCGCATATGTAATATAAATTTGTTAGGTTTTACTCTACACACCTAATCTTCACTATAACTGCATCATTTTTACAAGGCTTAGCATTAACAATAACAAAAACTACTGTAGTCTAAACTTTTCTCAAAACTGCAAATGACAATGAAAGCTAACTCCCACTTTTAAAAGTACTCAATTTATCTATATCAAATGAAAGAATTTTATAAATAAAAAGTCAAATAGTTACTATATTTTAAATTTATAGTCAATTGACAATTACATTTGCCAAAGTATGCACAAAAATCACATAATTAGGAAAAGCAACTAATATTGAGCTCTACTCTTCTCGATATTTGTTCTGAAAATTCTAACCAACAAGTGAGATTTCACTGATATACATGTCTAACTCAAGAGCAATCACTCTTATTACTGAAATAGAAAGGAATATTAAAGATAGGTAAATGTCAGACAATAAAGTAAAATTTGGGAGGGGAAAACTTACTTTTAAAAGTACAAAAGAAGAAATACAAAAAGTTAAATAAACATTATTATCAAACAATAAAATCAATATTCTTTTTATCCTCAACCCTTCCTAAGATGAGAAAGAGAGTAAGGAAAAAAATATGCATTGCATAGGTTAAATGTATATTTTTAAGGTATATGTTTGGGAATCAAAAGGCTTCAACACTTCTTCAATCTGAGATACAGTGAACTATGTACAAATTTTTTGCCTTTTTCAAAACTTTCTAAAAGTAATCTGAAAAGTTTACAAGAGAAACGTCAGATTTGTAAGCCAAAGGCAAGTCACAGTAGGCATATCCTGACTTAGATATGGTGGTAATCTGAAAGTGGTTTACTGATTTTAACAGTATAATGCACAAGGGGAATGATTACTGACTTTTTAAACTTCAGCTTTTTGAGGTATAACCGACATAAAAAATTTTAAGATATGTAAAGTGTATATCATGGTGATAATCAAGTATGTATATCCAATACACAGGGGAATCATTATTTTTTGTTTTTACTGAGATAAACTGCCATAGAACACAGTTTAAGGTGTACAACGTGTTGATCTGATACTCTCACATACTGCCGTAAGACTTTAGTGTAAGCTAATACCTCTATCCTGTCACATGATTATCTTTTCTTTTTTGTGGTGGGAACAATTAAGATCTAGTCTCTTAGCGACTTTGAAGTTTATACACATTATTGCACTATGCTGTGCATTAGATCTCCAGGACTTATTTATCAGCTGGTTGTGAGTTGCCCTTATACAACATCTCCCCATTTCCCCACCCTCCAGCCCCTGGTAACCACCCTTCTATTCTGTTTTTATTTTATGAGTTCAGCTTTTTCAGAATCCACACATAAGTTATCATATGTTTGTCTTCCTCTGACTTGGCATAATACCTGTAAGGTCCATTCATTTTGTCACAAATGGAAGGACTTCCTTCTTACCCATAGCTAAATAACATTCCACTGTATGTATACATATACATGTGTGTGCATATGTGTGCGTGTGTATCTCAAATCTTCTTTAGCCATTCATCTGCTGACAGACACTTAGGCTGTTTCCAATCTTGGCTATTGTGAATAATGCTACAATAAACATGGCAGTGCATGCATTTCTTCGATATACTGTTTTCATTTCCTTTGGATATCTACCCAGGAGTGGGACTGCTGGATCATATAGTAGTTCTATTTGTAATTTTCTGAGGAAACTCCATATTGTTTTCTGTAATGGCTGAACCAATTTGAAGGAACGATTATTTACGTAATCAATTAGTCAATCTCTTTAGAGTAAGATGAGTTTTCCACTAAAATGAATAGTCAAAATGAACTCATATGAATATAATTTTTCACATACCAAATTTACTTCAAAGACATTATAATAAAGACCTGGAAATCATATTAAAATGACTGAATATAAAATGACTAAAATTCAGAAATAAATTTGTCTAGTTCATTATAGATAAACAAACCAAGGCACTAAAGGTTAAGTGGCGTTGCCCAGTCACTAGTTAACTGTCACTATTTAATTGTCAGAAAAAAGTAATCGGAATACTAAGTTTAATAGAGTGAAAAAGTAAACATTGATATTTCTTCATTTTTATGAAAATTATTATATTGTTTTCTAATTCTTTAAGGTAATTTAAATAAAAGTGAATTTCTCAAAACTATTTTTGGAGATAATACTAGCATTGTCTTGAAATAATCATCTCAGCAACATGGAAATGAGAAACAGAAATTGACAAGCTTAGTCAAAGTTACCATCTTTTCCCTCAGGCAAACCCATGTAGGAGCATAATATAAACTAATCCTCTACAATTGGAATAAGTCAGGGTACAAGAGGACATAGATGTGTATGGGTTCACACATGTGTGCTGTGAATGTGTGCATGTGTATGTTTGTATATGAATGTGCACATACTTAAAAGTGTGCCTGGGAACCAGCAATTCGCTTTAGAGGGGAAGGGATAGATATTATAAAGTATGTATGTACTTTTCACATGTCTACAGAAGGAAAATATGTAGTGATGTTATATTCCCATCAAAATACGCCCAGGTATACAAAAACGAAATTAAACCCAAACATTTGGTTCCTTTAAAATGAAACCTTTTTAAAACTGACTTTATTTGTTCTGCCACTTTTACTTTGACCATTAGCCTAAATCACTACAATTTACAGCTTCTATTCTTCTATTAATTTCTTCTAAGTCGAACACTGCAAGGCTACTTTAGAACTATCTTAAATTCCTTCTCATCTAAAGATTTCTCTCCAAAAAACATGCATTAAAGTAGCCACAGCCTTTTAATTCGTGTCTAGCTCACATTAATTAATTGCTATAGCTAATTCTTCAGCAGATACCTATACTTCCATAATAGGCATAAAACTTTAAATATTTCCTATTAATGTTGCCAACTCCTCCCAACCAACTTAACCCATTTAGACTACAGTCCCTAATCTCTAGACACTTTTTAATTTGTCCCTATTTAAGTCATTCAAGGAATAACACCAATTTTAGTCCCCAGTGTTGTCCCAGTGTTGTTGAAAGATCATGGTTTGCACAGCATAGTAAATACAGTTTTTCTTTTGAGCCATACAAGTTCCTATAAATTTACTCAATAATTTTTCTAACAGGTATAAGTTTTACCTTATAAAGTAAATTTACTGTTCACAAACGTAATCCATTTTTCCCACTTTTGACCACTCAATTCAGTTTTTTTGTTAATTATGTTTTTGACTCTTAGAAGCTCATTATTACCATAAAACCTTGAAGAAGTATATGCTCACAAGAAGGTAGTCTACTTAATTTAATTTTCTATTTAACTGAGAATACCTTTTTTTTCCACTACTGCACCAGATCATTTTTTAAAGCTACTAATATTCATTACTGCATCAGTAAGCTCAGAATACTGAACATAATTTAATATTTCATTAAAATCCTCCATCTTTTGACGACTCAATATCAATTCTAATAACAGCCCTAAAATGTGAAAATAGGAAACTACTGAATACACATATCGATCCTAAGTTTGTTTTTAAATAAATTCCTAATAACAGCTT